CCCAGTTGTTACGCCACTGACCAGAATATATATTAGTTGGTGGCATTCTGCATTGTGCCACCGTATTATACAATGCAGAATACCATGCACAATACACTACAATGCAGGATACCATGCACAATACAATGCAGAACACCAGCAGTTATAGAGGAACACCAAATCCCAACAATAATACATTAAACACCCGGTATAATATATTATTGCTGGGATTTGTAGTCCTCTGTAGCTGGTGGTATTCTCCATTGCGATGTATAATGTATTATTGCTGGGATTTGTAGTTCCTCTATAACTGGTCAGTGGTATTCTGCATTGCGCCGTATAATCATTATACAGCGAAATGGAGAATACCACCAGCTATAGAGGACTACAAATCCCAGCAATAATAAATTATACAGCGCAATGCAGAATAACGCCAGCTACAGAGGACTACAAATCCCAGCAATAGTACACTATAGTGTACTATTGCTGCGATTTGTTGTATTCCTCTAAAGCTGCTGGTATTTTGCATTGCGCCGCTGTATAATGTACTATATTCCATACCACACTTTTTTTTACTTCAACCGCTCCAAGCTTGCTCCCGTGATGGACTACAATCTCAATACAAACTAGTAGTCCATCACTGGAGCCTTTTTTTTAATCTGATTAACCGATTAATTGAACTTAATAATCGGCTACTAATCAATTTTGAAAATAATCGTTAGCTGCAGCCCTAATGCTAGCCCCCCTTGATGGACTACAATCTACGGCTACGAATTTTTCGGCAGTTTACATGTCTACTACAATCTCAATACAAATGAGTAAACTAAACATGAGATTGTAGTCCATCACAGGAGCGAGTTTGGAGCGGTGACTACTTTACAACACTCACAGGGACCATGGGGAACAAAAGTAGCCCCCCTCCAGAAGGAAGGACAGTGTCAGCATGAATTCAGAGATGATTTGAGTATCTACAGCCGAGTGATACACAAATAAGATACATTTTTGTTAATAGCTAAGGTACTTGAATGCTAGTTCACACCAAGCGCGTTCCAGGAGCAGAGCGGATACAGAACGGATCAAAACTGCGTCCAATGTATTCCAATGGTATTTTGGGCTCTAGTTCACAAAAAAATGTAAAAATATGTTTTCATTTTACAGAAACGGCCCAGAACGCATCAAAAACGCAGCAAACCCCACTGCACTGCGTGTGCAGAAACTCATACAGATCTGGTCTGCATTTGGTGTGAACAAGCCCTTAAGATGGCCATACACTTTACAACCATCGCAAGACCTTAGTCTTGCGATGGTTGTAAAGTAATTAAAAAAACGTACGATCTGCCCATCTTGGACAGGCAGATCGTACTTGCGATCATCGCAAGCCCACCCCCTGAGGGACGGGCTTCCGATGACGACAATGCTGAACGGGCAGTGTGCGCGTGCGCACACTGGCCCGTTCGGCATTTGTCTCCCGAGCACCGTTCAAACAGGCCGAAAATCGTACGATTCTTGTCTGGTTTTCTAGCATGCTCCTTAGACAAAAGACGTTCGACCGTACAGTAGAAACGGTCGCACGTCTTCATTCACACTGCACAATTCTCATACGATCGCGGGATTTCCCGCGATTCTCGTACGAGAATCATGCAGTGTATGGCAGGGGCGTCCCGAGGCTGGGTGACACCCGGAACGGTAACCGAGTGTCACCCCGCTGAGACGTCACTGCGCATGCGCGTGACGTCATCGCGCACGCGCGGCAGTATTCTGTTACCTGCCGGCGTCCATTACCAAGATGAGAGAGAGGAGGGGACAGTCACCCGGCGGGATAAGGTATGCCGCCGGGTCCCCTCCTCTCTCCTGATACTGTCGGGCGTTCGGTCCATTTCAGAGGGGGGTGACACTAAATGACTGTGAGTCATTTTGGTGTCACCCCTCCAATGGTGTCACCCGGGTGCGGGCCGCACTCCCCTTGTGATGCCACTGGTGTATGGGCACCTTTAGAGTCACTTTATGAAGGGATGTTATTTGGAACCGTTATGGAAGTGAAGGTGCCAGGATTTTCACTTAGCACCCTGGCACAATTTGTGCTATTAATGTTGAAATAAAGGTAGAAGAAAGTTCTGGAAAGCGCTGAGAAAGCTCTTCATCTGGACTTTACTTCCATGAGTGTTGGGGGCCTTTGAGAGCTGTGATTCTGGCTCTCAGCTACTACAAGACAGAGTAGTGATGTGGATTACAAAGCCATGGGAATTATACAAATAGTTCCATGTATAATATGTAACAGAGGTAGCCACGAAATGTCAGCAAGAATATTTCACTTTCCATAGATTTGTATGACGACTTTTTCAGTAACATGAACAAAGTTACAATGGTTTATATAGTGGTAGGTATACAGTTGTAGACAACGTTTGGCACTCCTGCTGTGCTGAAACAAATACCATTATGCTTCTGAAAGTCATACATATGGCTGCCAGCCTTCCAATACCTCATGGGATTTGTAGTTCTACAACAGCTGGAGTGCCAAGGTTGCCTACCCCTCCCTGGTATAACATGTTGCAAGCATGCAGTCATGTTGTTAGTGACAGGACCACAGGCATGGTGACAATATCAGTGTTTGTGGAAGGTCTGCTAACCTATCAAAGCAGTAAATGTCAGCCATTTATTTTTCATATTTAATAGACTTTTATATGAACAAAGGTTCATATAGTGGTGGGTATAACATGTAGCAAGCATGCAGCCATACAATGATAACCTTGGTTACAGGACCACAGGCATGGTGACAATATCAGTGTACATGGAAGGTCCTCTAACCCATGAAAGCAGCAAATGTCTGCAAGATTTATTTTATTTTGTTTTATATTACTTTCTTGGAACAAAGCCATGGGGGTTACAAACGACTTCCTTCTTTGATATGTAACATCAGAAATGTCAGCAAGATGTTTTTGTTTCATCAAAGGAAAGACACTTTATTACATATAGCACATGGTGTAATACACCCCAATTATTGGCAGTGGTAGCTGCTCCTTTGTAAGTCATTCAGCTGCACCTGGCACAGGTAGGGTTAATGCCAGCCCCGCTCCTGGGATGCAGAACGGGTGGCTTGGACACACCCTTCTGACGTCATGGCAGCTGGCCACGCCTGGAAGGGTTTGCTCCTTGTAAACCTGAGCTGATTATATGAAGGGGGGATTTAAATCAGAGAATGGAAAGTTGTGCAGGAGATATGGCCAGGGCTGATCGCTAGGAGGCTGGGAACTGGCAGCTGGGGAGGAAGAGAGAGCCTGCAGGGAGAGACCTGGGAGCTGTCAGGAGGGTCACACAGACAAGACTAGTAGGGGGGGATTTAATTTCTTCTAAGGTGGAGTGAGAGGAAGACAACCGTGTCTCTAACCAAAATAACATCCACAAGGAGGCTCCCAGGAGACCAAGGTAAGAAAGTTTTCAGCCAACCTCTGATTGCTGCTGGTGAACTACAAACCCCAGCATGCACATACTGCACTTGGAGATCTGCAGTAGATCCCCAAAATTCTGCTTTATTGCATAGACCTTTGTCTGGCTCTGCTAAAAACTTTGCTTTTGTAATCATTAAACTGCACAGGCACATGGTAGGAGCATGTACACAAAGAGTTTCCTTTTAATTGTCCTGATACAGAATAACAGCTGCTCTGTTATCACAAATACAAATGTTTCCGAATGAATATTGTTGAATAATGTGGTTAGGTGTTTCTGCTACTTTTTTATAAGGTTTTGCTATTACTATTATGACACAAGTCATGCTTGTACACAAAAGCTATTTGTACCCCAGCACAGCCTTTCTCAACCAGGGCTCCTCCAGAGGTTGCTAGGGGTGCCTGGAGCTGTGAGCAATGGTGTGTATCAATCTCCCACCTACAGTGATCATCAATGCAAGGGGGGAATTGTCCATGGACATCCAATGTAAGAGGTCACCTCTATACTGACCACTAGTGTACTGTAAAGGTATGTTTATATTTTTATCAGTCAGTTTTCTATTTTATTATTATTTATGATTTATTATTGAAAATAATGTTGTCATTTATAGAAATCTTTCTGAACCTTCTGGCTTTCTAAGTGTTGCATAGAGGCACTGGGACTGAGGATTCTGATGTGAAGGGGCAACTCTGTCGTAAAAGAAAGGGGGGTGGGGGTCTCTCTAATTTGAAGGTGGACTTCTGATGTGTTGGAGTCTCTTGGTGGATGTCAAGGAGATTGGATGTGTAGTTTGGCTTCTGATGTGAAAGGGAGCTCCTGATCTGAGAAGTGGACTGTGATAAGTAGGGAATCTGATGTAAAATGAAGGGAAGGGGGGAGCTTTTTAATGTGAAGGTGGGCTTCTGGTGTGAAAGAGGGGTACTCCTGGTGTGGAAAAAGGAGATTGGATGGGAAGGGGGGGGGGGGGGGGTGGCAACTGAACAGTTGGTAAGGAGGAGGAGTCTAGCAGCAGCATTCATGATAGACTGAAAT